TTCAAGGATGGTGAGGTAGGACATTGTAGGGGGTGGATTTGTCGATAAAAATAGCTGAAAGATATCCCCCTCAAATATCGGTATGTCGTGACCAAAGGCATTGTATATATATATATATATATATATATATCAAATTACAACCATTACAATTAATGGAGTAGACAGTATTAGTTAAGCTAAGCATCGGAATTGTCGGATATTTCATTTTGGAAAATACATTATTGATTGTAAGGACGGATTTACCGGCAATACGACAATTTAAAGTGCTGCGTAGTCTGGCCAATTTTTGCATGTAGGTACTACGTATCACGATACATTTTTGCTTAGTTTCCATCAGTGGGGATCGTACCGAATTTCACCTAACGGTACGCCATTGACTTCTCCTAAAATAAAGATTATTATTGTACTACCCAATCATTTCTAAGCAAAGATTTCTTGATTTTGTTGATCCGATGAACGGCTTTTGATTGGGAAAATAAAAGCTTGATCATAGCAATAGCGTTAATGTGACAATATCACCATGCTTTTGTTTTTAAGGTGAAAACCGTGCATCGGACTAAAAAAGTTCAAGAGATCATTACCTGCTCATGAATTAACATATTTATTTTTTTTTAAGAAAAGTCAGTGGCATGCATGTAACAATATTTAGGACTATGTTAATCACTGGTTAAAACCAAGAATTTGTTTTTGCAATAATGACAGCCGCCTCAACAAACAAGTTATTAACTCTCTCATCCATAGCACACTACAATGACGAGTAATAACTATTTCATACTTAAGTAACTTCTTTAATGTTTTATCGAAAATTTTCCAAAATGCAATGTACGAATACGAAGTACGTAAGCTCTGAAACATATTTTTAGCCTTCAAGTTAGGCTGTCCGTACCTATTACAGCGTATTGGAGGTTCGGTTTACGATATGTAAACGCTGTTTGATGTTTATTTACAGTCATATCATCACAAATACAGGATGACAAAAACTTGCATGGAAACTCAAACTTTTCCAAAAACTGTTCACGATTGATCTGGTAGAGAGCGGTTGCATAGGCGCCCGCAGGAATTTTTTTCGGGGAGGGCTGACCATCGGCAAGCGTTAATACTTTGTAAAACTGAACCGGCTCCCAAAACTTTTTGAAGAGCAGGATGTAGCATATTTTTTCAGAGACATGGAAGGGTAAGCCATTTTAGAAATCCTCAAAATTGTAATCAAAATAATGCTAAATATGCAAATCCCGTCCAGCCGGATTTCAGGGGAGGAGCACGGTCCACTATGACACTCCCATGCAGGCGCTCAATGAGTGTCCGACAAAAGATAGTTTCTACTATAGTTCTAATTCTATATGTGTGTAGTTCTGAGCTTTGTCAAGTAGTTGCTTAGATAACAGTTATATATTCTGTTTAAGATCATTAAATCATAGCAACAGCTACCTCGACTTCTTTAATGGATACAGAATAATACCGAATTTATGTAGGAAAATATATCTAATAATGTTCAGCTGCTACCTAGTTTACCCATTCCTTGCATTATTCGAGTTAAGGGTTCTACACGGTTCTCATAAATACATAATTCGTTGTTCGTTAAGACATTCTAATACCATTTGCATTTTAATATTTTCCAATTCTAATATTTCTAAGCAGTTTTTAGGTACCTAATCAAGTGTGTTTGAGTTACGAAATAAGGGCAATCTATTTGGAAATGCTTTTTTTCCGCTATAGTGGTAGAGGTTGAATACTCTTATGTTTTACAGATAAAATACCTATATCTTTAAAAACTCGATTTAAGTCTACCCAAAATGTTGATATTCATAAAAAATCTTGATATGTAGCTCAGTAATGGGACATCCTGGACATTTTTCCAGGATAATTCTGAACAGTTTTTAAAAAGTGTGTCGTGTAGCAATACTCCATCCATGCAAGTATGTGTACATGTAATAGAATTGCAACGTTAGTATGTTAGAGAACTAGCTAATACAGATGATGATAAGAACGTAACTGGATACCAAGCAACCATTAGATTTCACATACCGAATCCGCAATAAGCTGTAATAGGGTGACTGTCGAAGTAAGAGCATCAGTATCTCCAAAAGTACTCGTGCAAAAACTTCTTGCCTACTGAAATGTTTGTTCTGTACTTGTTGAGAACATATTGAATATTAAAAAACATTTACCGAAAGCAATTCTCCGAAAGGTTTCTGCGGGGTATATTCCATCAAAGCTTATTGAATAATTTTTCTGTTCTTGTTGAATGAATGCCAAATGACTGCTGTCAAATATACGTATATTCGAAGTTGTATTAATTATCGACATGGTTTTGGACAACGGTTATGGAAAGTACACTGGTCTTATATGACAAATCTAAAAATCGCTCTGAAATAAACAGATGTTCCTTCACAATTCTAACAGCTCCATCGGAAGTGGCGAAAACATTCAAACAAAAAAAAATGATCAGAACATAAATTTCAATCTATTTGTTTTACGGAACAAAATTTGGTAAACAGCAAAGCTTTGAACGTACAGTCGATAAAGAAGGAATTTAAAATAATCAGAGAATTAGTAGTTATACAGTCTTATTGATTAAAATACAAATAACTAATATGAATTAAAAAAATTGATTGATTAAACTAATCGACTAAAAAATGAAAAATAAATAATAGTTTAAAAAAACTTAAGAAAACGCTTTTGTAGCTAACCGAACTGAATACTAAAAAACAATTTTCAATTACAAAGAGTTTATATTACAGTAGTAGGTGGTCGAACAATAAATCACAATAAATTATCTCAAAATAAAATTATAATAAAATTTAAGTTATTAACAGAATAATTCAATTCAGAGTAAAAAGTGTGGGGTGCATTTTACTACATTTTCATGACTAATTGCCAACAGAATGATTGTAACATTTGATATATCAAGCACCGCACGCTTTTCACTCTGAATTGAATTAATCTGTTAATAACTTGTTTTATTATAATTTTATTATGAGGTCACTAATTATCTTCGACTATCTATATATAAACCCTTTGTAATTTAAAATTATTCTCTACTTTTTAGGTCGGTTAGCTATAAAAGCGTGTTTTTTTAGTTCTTTGAAACTATTAATTATTGGATTTCTTGAATAAAAAGTATGCAGTGACGACGCTTACATGGCGAACTCTTTCTAACACGCTTCTATTTCTCGTACACAAGGCAATCAAAAAGGGAAAACGACTTTGGCCAGCACTGTATGTATACTAAGTGACATATAAATCCGAACACCCAGTTTAAATGGTTTTATTTTAATAAAATTTTGTATAAGTACTTAATGAAGCATAATAAGTAAATGATAAAAATTTCAAAATGATTGCACTGCTTTAAAGCCCTTTGACCTTGAATAATGTATGGATACACCCTAATGTGCTACGCATTCTCCAACGCGCCTAGGCATGCTTCTGATCAGGTGGTCAATGTCCTCCTGTGGTATCTCATTCCAGGCAACCACCAACTCCTCTCGAAGTGCTTCTAGAGTCTGAGGAGGACGTTGCAAATTGAGCAATCTCCTACCCATCATATCCCACACGTGCTCAATTGGGGATAAGTCGGGAGATCTTGGTGGCCATGGTAACAATGTGACATCATTATGTTGAAAGAAGTCTATTGTGACTCTTGCAACATGTGGTCGGGCATTATCTTGTTGGGAAGTTGGATCTGCCAGGGTGTCAAGATAGGGTAAAAGATGGGGTTCTAGAACTTCGTGGATATAACGCTGCGCGTTCATGTTACCTCTGATGAAGATTAAAGGTGACCTGGAACCATAAGCTATAGCACCCCAAACCATAACTCCAACAGTGTAATGAACATGTCTTTCAACAAAAAAACTGTGGATTCCTCCTTCCACCACGTCGCCTTCTAACCCTGGCACGACCATCGTGCATGCCTAAACAAAATCGAGACTCGTCACTAAAGACAATACTGTTCCATTCTTGATCCCAGAGTGACCGTTGTCTGCACCACTCAAGGCGATTACGTCGGTGTTCTCGAGTTAAAGGGAGGACCCAGTGTGGCCGGTATGAAAACAAGCCAAAACTTCTCATTCGTCGGTAAACACTTTGCATGCCAATAGGTCTTCCGTGTTCTGCAAACCAGTCATTTGCAATGGACCTGGTAGTGGAGAAACGGTCCCTTAAGGCCAATAATCTTAGGCGGCGATCTTCACGGTCTGTTGTTCTACGGCGGCGTCCAGTGCCCCTTGCTCTTTGCGTACGGCCTTCTCGAAGCCATGCCTGACAACACCTAACCGCAGTGTCTACACTTCTTTGCACTCTAACTGCAATTGCCCGAAAAGAAAGTCCAGCTTCCCGAAGTCCCACTATACGGCCTCTATCAAACTCACTAAGTTGACGAAATCGTACAGGTCTCCGTACTCTAGGCATCGTAACCGATCGTAAAGGATGTCAAGAAAGAAAATCCGCCAACGTTGATTCTTTACTGCGGCTGAAATATTCATTTTTAGAGCGTTAGTGAATTAAAAAAAAGCAGTATAAAAACCGGAATGTCCAACTGATAAGGCTGAAAATTTTTTCACTTGTTATTTACAGTAAGATAAATACATTCACCAACTTTTATTAAAATACAACCATTTAAACTGGGTGTTCGGATTTATATGTCACTTAGTATATACATGTTTGTATTTCAAAGAGCTGCCGAACAAAAATCTTTTATAAAATGATGATGAGCGTGGAAAATGCAGAGTAAAACCACATGACGCATTTTTTTGTTAAAAGTCGGATTGGTATTTGAGTAAGTAATTAGGAAATAGGAATTAATAGGGCAGTACCTTTTACCACCTTTGTCAAGCGTGAGAGCTCATTTTCCTTTATGTTTTAATTAATAACAAGCGACGAGATGATGTTGTCACGTAAACATGTCAGCCAATGCTTGAACTTATCCGATAATATACTTGTAAATGCAAGAATATAACTAGTTTTAACAACGTAATCAGTATATAAAGTGATATCGAATAACGATGTTGATTTATTACAGTGTGAGCCATCTTGGTTAGTTGCAATTTACTTAATACTCGAAACATTTCATTTTGATCCAAGAAACTATAGCCAGTAATCAGGATGCAAATGTACACAGCTCTTGACAATTCGCATTGGATTCAAATTTTTCTACGAAAACGTCTAGAGGTGCGTGGGTTCCATACAGTTATAGTGTTCCAGATACTTTCAAAAATGGCGAATGTTTTTGTGAATTGCAAAAAGTAGCACAAGCTGAGCAAAAGCAAACTTTTTTACTTACCATGCCTACTGTGCAGGGGTATTGTAATCCCTAAAAAATTCTAAAATTAGATATTATGTTTTTTGGATATACGACATATACATCGCGAAAAACCACGTCACTCATTTCAGTCGGTCTGTCTGTCCGCTAATGATATCCTATTACTACTGTAATATGGCACGGATGAGAAAGCTTTTTTGTTTTTGAAAATCGGTCCAGTGGCGGTGGAAAAAAGGTCTAAAATGGAAAAAATAAAAATCGCTGAAATCTTCGTTTTTCGACCTTACCGTCATAGGCACCTCCCACCCCGCTCACGTAGCGCCGTTACAATCGGCAGTTTGGTTTGGAAGTAAGAAGTGGCAACACGTTTTCGTACCTGGAAAGTGAGTTTATTCAGTTTTCGACATTTGATCTCTGTTCTTTACTGTGGATAGATTCCAGCACGCCACTTATATACACCGTAAGTGTAATTATTCTAGCCATATTTACGACAGCCAGCTTTTATTCAAGTGTCATAGCTTTTTTTTAAATTTAATAACTGGTAGTATGGCGTGGAGTGGGAGACATTACCCTGGCGTTGGGAGGAGACTTTACCCAGGGTAATCTCTCCCTCTCTGTCAGGGTCGTTTCTCCCGCAATAAATTTTATTCATTTTATTTCAGAGAATGCCCTTCAACTATAGAAAAAAACAAACAACTAGAAAGAGAAGCAATTTAGATCTGTCAGTAATAAAAAATGCTTTAGGTGACATTGATCAAGGAAAGTCTATCCGAGGTGTTGCTTTGGAATATGGAATTGACAGAAATACCTTAAGAAATTATTTAAGAGACAGGTCTAAATTGACTAAAATAAGTGAACAAGGAAGCCAGTTTAAAACATCTATGATATTTACAATCGAAGAAGAGAAGGCGCTTGTTGAATATCTTATAGCTTGCAGCAAAATGAATTATGGATTAACCAGACAGGCGACTATGCAGCTAGCATATGAATATGCAACAATGAATTCCAAAAAGGTTCCAGATTGTTGGACTTCCAACAACTGCGCAGGAAAAGATTGGTTCCGGGGATTTATGACAAGAAACCCTGAACTAAGTTTGAGAACCCCAGAAGCCACCAGTTTATCCAGATCAACCAGCTTCAATAGAAAAAACGTTACTGATTTCTTCGAGAACCTCAAAGAAGTTAGAGAAAAATACCAATTTGAAGCACATAACATCTATAACTGTGATGAAACAGGGTGTACGACTGTACAAGAGTGTCCCAAAGTAATAGCGAGCAAGCATATGCGTCAAGTAGGACAAGTTACTTCAGCTGAACGCGGCAGCCTTGTGACCGTTTGCTTCGCTGTGAACGCTCTGGGAAATGTTCTTCCTCCATTTTTCATTTTCCCTAGGGTTAGATACAACGAATGCTTTGTAGCTGGTGGGCCTCCAGGCTCACATGGTGACTCCTATCCTAGTGGATGGATGACAACCAAGAGTTTCGTAAAATTCATGGAGCATTTTGTGAAATATTCGAACGCATCTCTTAATAACCGAGTCCTGCTTATCCTCGACAACCACGAAAGTCATATCAGTGTTGAAGTCGTTAAATATGCAAAATCAAATGGAGTCACTTTGCTGACTATACCCCCCCACTGCAGCAGAAAGCTACAGCCATTAGATGTTTCCGTCTATTCATCTTTCAAGACTAGATATAATTCAGCCATGAATAACGGGATGATCAGTAACCCAGGACGAACTGTTACGATCTACAATATACCTGGATTTGTAAACACAATCATGTCGCAGGCTTTTAGTCTATCCAATATTTTGAGTGGATTTCGATCAACTGGGATACACCCCTATAACCCGGACATCTTTACAGATTACGACTTTTTATGCTCTGCGGTAACAGATAGAGAAATGACTAGTGAACTCCAAAAGCAAGATGTTTCTTCGATTACTTCACCCTCGGTCGCTGCAAAAGTACCATCAGATTCAACCACGGTCGCATTACCTTCAACATCTACTGTACGTCAGTCAGAGCCTTCAACATCAGCATCAGTATTCACGAATGAAACTGCAGCTCCTAGAATCAATTCACCATCAATTTTGACTGCGGAAGAATCCGGTCAAGCAAATACAATACCAAGACGATCAGCAGAGATAGCTTCTACATCTAATGTTCTGGATATGACAACGGTAGATTCTGATTCCGGACACACACCAAAAATAGTTTTACCACAAACAATTCGACCATTTCCAAAAGCTACTTCTAGAAAAAGTCTTCGTCGTGGTAGACAGCCCGGAAAAACTAAAATTTTAACAAAAACGCCAGAAAAACTAGACCAAGATGATAAGTATGCACCGAAAAATAAGAAAATTAAAATAACTACGAAAAGGCAAACAGGCAAAGCAAATAAAAAGACAGTAAAAAGACAAGTTTTACAGTCAAGTGACAGTGAGACAGACCTTGACGAAGAACCCAAGTATCATGATAGTTCTGATAGTCCCTGGGATGAAGTACCAGATGTTACTGATAATTGGTTTTGTTTCATCTGTAGGGAAGACAAAGTTATGGACATGAGACTTTGTGCTGTTTGTGGCAAAAATGTCCATGAAATGTGTGTTGGACTATCCAAAGACGATAAGGAGCAGTTTATTTGTCCCAATTGCTCCAATTAAAAAAAGTAAGACTGATGAAGGTTGTTATTATCTTTGCTCTTAATTTTGAGAGTTAATTTAATTTTTGTTTTACTGACAACATACAAGGTTTTTAAGTTTAAACTACTTATAAGATTGACTTCCTGTTTCTGATGGAGAGTATGACTATTTTATAAGTAGATTTTGTTATCTTGTTATGTATTATTTTATTTTTGTTCTTAATTTTGAGAATCACTCTAATTTTTATTTTGCCGACAACGTACAAGATTCCATACCAAAAAATAATTTGTATTACCTACTTTTAAGCTTTAACTACTTATAAGGTTTGTTACCTAGTTATGTGAAAGATGGAGTAGGTTCAGGTAATACTATGTGCCATATTTTTTTAATTAAATTTATAGATTTACAATGTGTAATGCTTATTTTGCCTAATCCTAAAGTGGAGGGTAAAGGCTCCCTACTCGAGGGGTCAAGTCTCCCACCCATGCGGGAGATATTAGCCGAATGTCACCTTGGCAGAAATCGTTGATAACTCGTAAACTCTTAATGCTACATTAAGCTTTCTTGAGAAAAAATGTAGCTAAATAATGCGTTCTAAGATATAATTTATCGGAAATGAAGATTTGTAAGCGTGTAAAGACTTAAAAGCATTTTAGTGGAAGGTGGGTATACTCTCCCGGACTCCCCCTACCTAGTAAGATAAGTAGGAATTTTAAACATATGTGTGGTCTGATTAGTGCAGACAAAGGGAGGTCGAGTTATTTGTTCACTATTATTTTGAATCTAAAAGTTCTCGGGAATTTTTTTTATATATGAACCTCCACGGAGGCTTAAGGCCTAAACTCCCATGGGCACCGTGGGGCTATAGGCGGATACAGGGAAAAGGGGGGTCGCCACACAGACTGTAGCGAGGGAACACATGTGCATGTAACATGCACACATTCTGACCCCGCCTTAGATATCCGCCGCGTGCTACCTCCGTGTTCGGCAATTAGAGACCGTCTACCACCTACGGACAACATCCACAGCCAAGAGAAAAATTCTCTTGGGACGGGATTCGAACCCGCGCAGCGCACGGCAATTGATTGGGAGATCCATAACGTCTACCACTACGCCAACGCTGCTGCCTAAGGGTCTTTTTTTCGTGTTAGAAATAGTAATTTTCTCATTTTAGCGCTACAAGATATTGTAAAAGGACCTCCCACCTCGACGCCACGCCGCGTCTCGAAAAATCTATCAAACAGATCAAGTAAATCGCTTCCAAATCTTTTTATTGGATCAAAATAGTGACAATGATATATCAGCAGTAATCGACATATATAATGTTCAACAAGCTATTAGATTTTAGTGAAGAATTCGAATCATGCACAACGTAGACAGCTATTTAGAAAAACCGAGTTGAAGCAACGTGCTCGGCTATTTTCTATATTATGTATTTCTCCATTGCTGCATTTGATGAAGACAATTTCTCATATTTTCCACTTCAGAAAACGCAGCCGTCAAACATATGAGCTCCCAAGTCGATACGACGTCGACATGCACACAAGCAGTAACGCAATATTCTGTTAAAAACTCAATCAGGCCTCCTGTGTCTTCCCAAACTTGGGCTGCATTCAGATACAAGTCAGGCAGCTTCTGGACTCCCCTGGCGAGCCTTACATCACCAACCGTCGGCACCGCTTTCATTTTACATACTACGTATATAAATGTATAATGACTGCCATAAATAAAACTTTGTGTAGAGAAGAATGCGAAGGTAACTGTGACTATGTTAGGCTCGACCTGCGGTATGGCTGGGTTCCTAATGTAGTTGTTTAACACTCTTGAGGCTGGATGTTTTATCTCAACGTAGTACCTAGAAGTTTTGAAACCTACTGCAGGTTTATTTTAATTTTTGAAAATAGCTGGATGGTTTCCGGCACCAGCGATCCACGGGGGATCTGTTAGTTCACGTCATGCAACTGTGGACTAAACTTATTCAGTCTTATTTTGAGGTTCATGCCGTTGCTCTTGATATCACGAAATTGTTCGATGACCTTATGATGTCCCAGAGAACCATTGGAGATATGTGGCGGACAACCTCTCTGGCCGCAAGGTACCCGTTGCAATAGACGGGTTCTACTCTTCATTCCACAATGTCAACGCAAGTCTAACCTAGGGATCAGTCTTGGTTCCGACATTGTTCTTCTTAGACACAACAACCTCCTTCCTCCTTTCCTTAACAATCAATCCGACACACAGCTTTGTTGATGACAGCACTCTGCATGCAGGAATTCAGAGGAACAAGCCGATCTCTGCTGGTGAGCTAGAGAAAAGAATACTAATAGTGACTTTCTGTTATACCTGGAGGTTATCACTGCTATGAATCGCAACAATCTGGTACAGTTTAAGGTACTTTAATTAGACTAACAAGAAGCGCTGATCCGGTTTGGATGGGTGGCCCAGTACTGTAAAAGAGCCGTTCATTTCGGCTGGTCGGAGTTCAGATCTCCGAAGACTTGATCTGGCACGAACGCATCTCGTCAATAGCGGCACCTGCTGGAAAAAATCTAAGCTATTTGCTTAGGGCTAAGAAGTACCGTTCTTCACATCACCTCCTCATTCTGTACAACGCCCAGATAAGACCTAGCTTCGAGTACTGATCACATGTTTAAGGTGCTGCCGACCCGACTACTTTTTCCATGCTCGATACTGTTCAGAGAAGGGCCGTTGGCGATCTAATTCCGATACAGCTTTGTAGTGGCTACGCTTTTGGCATCTGAGGCTTGAAATTCGCCGGTACTTGAAAACATTGGAGAGTGAACAGCTAGAGGGATGGGCGATGAGGAGGGGTGCTTCCAGCTTCGCTACCATAACAGTTTTTTGCTGTATTTGCCGCTCTAGATCTACACCTACTGGCCTTTACAGAAAATATGGCAAACCCGCTCCTAAGCAAAAAAATAAATACTTTTGTGCGCTTTTCAAGCTCTTCACTAAATTAGGGCTTAGTTTCTTTTGTCTGACACGACACATTTACGTGTTTATACTATCCTGCAGCAACACCAGGATTTAAACTGATCGCAATCATGGTTGCTTGAAGACAGATAGTTTTTCCAAGAATTATCTTAATTTCGAAGACAACGGAACTAGAACAGAACTTGTCTGTTCAGTCCTGCGGAAAAGCGTTTGGAGCAACTTGTGAAGATTTGTCGATAGCCTGGATTAACAAAGGATTGACGGGACGGGCAAAATTATAGATGCAATTGATCTCGCGACTGATTCATGTAACTCCCAAAAGAAAGCAAGTAGGAAGCACTACGTCCAGCATCTGGAACCTTGACTTATGTAATGCTGCTTTAATGCAGAAGAAAGGACTGAACAAATATCGTTTGGGAAGTCCACAACTATCATTATTGCCGTTCTTGTGGATGTGTTTCCTGTATGCAAAAGCATTACAGACAAAAGTTCACCATTCCTACACTGTACTTATAAAATCGTGTGGACTATGCTATCCTGTTGATTGCTGGCCTTTCTCGCTAAACCTGCGGAGAGACGGTGTAAAGTTTACAGTCATCCATGACATGAGGATGAGAAGTCACAACATAGATTGAAAACCGAGTTATTAGGTAGATCAATGAATTGCCAGTTTTCTACAAGAATGGAGCGTTTGTGATAGCTATCTAATGTGGAGGATAAGGTGTGTAGATCTTGAAGATTATTTATATTCAAACAGACCTCACTTCTTGCAACTTTGCCAGGTGGAAATAGACGATATAAGTATCGTTTTTATACTTTGTATAAGAGTTGATGTTATCATGTGTTCTTTCCTTCAACGTCTAATTGTTACCACTGGTTCGAAATGTAAGAATACGGTGCTGTTATATTCTTCATTATTACGACTTATCAAATAAAAGGCACCCTATCGAATATCCAGTTATTAAGGACATTCCCCAGGAGGTAGCCGCCTTAACACGTCGATGGGTCCATCCATTCATAAGGTCCTTCAGAAACAATAATATACCAAATTATTACCTTACTGAATATCTCTGTATCACACAAGTAATTTCTGAATTATAAAATTATAAATCAAAAAGTCTGGTATAATTATAACCTTCCGTCAAAGAACAACTTCCAAAACAAAAACAAATCAGCGTCAGCAGCCAGACACATAAAAATTCCCCGGTTAACGTGGTCTAACATTTTTCTCATTCACATTTCCCCATCCACTGAGCCATCCGAATTCCAGCCCGCCGCCGTGCCGCTCGGGCCAACACCCACAATTACAGAAATATTATTTTAAAAACTTAATCAAGCAACTGGTGGTGTCCTCCCAAGCTCGAAGCGCACAAGGGCGAGAATCGCATGGCGGCCGAACGGCTCCCGAGTTAGCGCGCACGCCACTGTCGCCCTTAAGTCGTACCTCCGTAAGGCGGCCGTACCGGTAGGCCGTACCAACGATGGGCGCGCGCGGGGGGGGAGTTCGCCCGTCGCCCGGTCTACTCACTACTTGTTAGAACCATTGGGCTACCAGCCATAGTTTGGTACAGAAGCAAAATATAACTTCTTCTGCGTCTTCGTCTGCTTCCGACGGTGGTCAGCACACGTAGACGACTTGCCGCTGTTCCGTTGGTACTCCTGCTGTCACATTGCCTGGGGTTGCTGATTTTGGTATCATACTGCACTACAGGTTAGTGGATTTGAATGTTTTTATTCATCATTTCTGTTTTATTTCAAAATGCAAGTGATATTTACGAAGAAATTTTCTTTGAGTCAATGTCTGCTTTCATCTTTGGATAAACCTTGATTTCAACAGAATCTGTATTTTTCTGCAACAACAAATTATTATTTTGCAACAGGACGACGAAACTGTGTTGCTGAATCCTGGCTTACTGAATTTGACGCACATGTCTATGCATTAGCCAAAAATTTTTGTTTTATCTAAAACCCATTATACTTTTTATATAAATTTGTATAAACAGCAATACATGATTACTATATTCTTATTTTCCTAAGTTCAAAGAACATATTCTTAACAACCGTCT